CTAGGGTGGAATGATAATGGACCATCTACCACAGAGGTTTGCTTATAGATGTGATTATCCAATAAATCTATGTTTCAAACTACATTAGGAATACCCTTTCGATGTTCACGCAGGTTTTATTAGACAGCCAAAATGGGGCCACCTACGTGACCTGCACTTGGCAATAAAGCACTGTGAGGAGTATTTGATCAGCTCTGATCCAACTCACCAGCAGCTTGGTCATAATCTAGAGGTAACTTTAGATGTTTCAACATGTTACTCTCTCTCTCTCTCTCTTTTACATGAGAAACATATGGCTCTGCCCTCTGATCACAGCAGACATTTTGGGGCAGATTCCTGTTTTGATGTACATTACTGAACCTTTTTTCTGGTTTTCATGCCATTACCTGTTCTTACCACTTGTTGCCCATCTCTCTCATAGTAATCATGTTGACATACTTTTGTCTTCTTCCTTTTCAAACTTTGAAGGCACATATCTACTATAAATCTTCCAACGAGTGTGCAGCCTTCCTTGCTAATTATGACAGCAATCTGGATGCAAATGTTACATTTAATGGAAATTTGTACTTCCTTCCAGCTTGGTCTGTAAGCATCCTTCCAGACTGTAAGAATGTCATTTTTAACACAGCAAAGGTATTGATCGCAATTAGTTATTTATATGATTTAATGTAACACATATCTTCTCTAAACTCATCGTGGAAATCTTTTGGCTTCCCATATCATTCTGCTACTATGTCGCTAACCTTCTTTCCTTGCACTGTTTTCCTTGATTGAAGGTTGTGTCACAAAGAAACTTCGGTGACAACGCATTTGCTCAAACAAATTCTGTTAATCAGTTTTCATTATCAGCATCATCGTGGAGCTGGTATAAGGAAGAACCAGGTGTTTGGGCCAATAACTCGTTTACAGAATCTCGTTTATTGGAGCAGATCAGTACAACAAAAGACACTAGCGATTTCCTATGGTACACAACAAGGTAAATCACTCATATTGTTTATTCTTTCTTGATTTTAAAAATAGTCATAGCCTTTCCAACTTTTGTTGATAAAGCCAGAACTGCCAATAGACCAAATCTCGGAGCATATTGAAATTTACTTGAAACAGTTTCACCACTTTTGCATCTACTTATATTTTGTCAAAATGATTTTTGTTTCTCATAGTGGATTCAGTTCTGTGTACTGACTATTTGATGAATTGGGCTGAGCTCCTTCTGCATGTTTTCTCTGATGTTTTTGCTATACTATATTCATTACTTTTAGATACCTTTTTTCTTACAATGTTTCATGGTATTGGCTTTGGCAGTATAAATATCATGCCTGATCAATCAAAAGAGGTCTACCTGCTTATTGAAAGTTTGGGACATGCAGCACTTATTTTTGTCAACAAAAGGCTTGTAGGTATGTACTGTACTGATTGCAGTGGAATAATTTCTGCCAACTGGTTTTATCTTCTTTAGCCAATTCTTTACTTGATATGAAACTCAGTGACATTCTTCTCCACCGAAATAAGCTTCTTTCTTCAAAGACCTTTCAAATGGTGATAGAGGTGGTCTCAATATGTTCTCAAACTTTCTTGCTCTCCCATACTGAATTCACCGTTCTATCTTGTTCTGATTACTTTTTTGTTCATAAATTTCTATATTTACATTGTAATCGCAAAGTGCTTGGGAGTACATCATTGGGGATCATTGCACTTTGCTCGATTCTATCAACTTTCCAGTTTGATTTACATGTCCCATCATACAACCTGATATCTGTCCATCTCAATATCAAAGTTTTCATTCTTATTTTCATATTTTGTTTTGGAAGCTATGATCATGGAGAATGAGTTCATTGCTATAACATTGTCATCTGGGTATGGTATAACTAAAAAGGGAAACCAAAACTCAGAACAACCACTATGCTCAATTTTGCAGGTTGAGTGCTGTAAAACCAATTTAATATTAATCTCTCATAAAACAAAATTTCAGGAACTTATTACTGTAATTCTATGATATTTTTTCCTTCAATTCATTTAATATAAATTTAAATTCTCTAATGTTCTCCCATCCAATCCCATCATTACTCCATCACACCCTTCCATGCTGATCAATTTTGAATCTGTCTTTTACTTGATGTTCCTTGCTGTTCTATGTTTTACAGCATTTGGATATGGTAATCATGATGATGCAAGCTTTTCGATCAGTGAGAAAATTAGTCTTGTTGAGGGAAATAACACACTGGATATGTTGAGTATGATGGTTGGTCTACAGGTAAAAAAATTTCTTCAATTAAGACATTGTAGAGAACTTAATAAGACAGGGACCTTTGGGTAACATTTAGTGAGGGTTTTTGTTTATCTTTATGGTATTTCTATTGTAACCAAAAAGACCTTAAGGACGGATAGGAACTAGTTAGCTACTTTTAATGGGAAGTTGGATTAGGATATTCTGCTAACAAACAATACAGGTCATTTCAACATACACAGAACTTATCACCTTCCTATCCAGGCAAAGGCAGTTTTTTACATTTAATTGACACTGTGATCTGATAATTCAGTTCCAGACCCTCTTTCCGATTAGACTGACCAACTATCTGGAGCACTACTAAACCAGGCATCTAGATTCTTATTAAGGTGTCTTTGGTATCAACTATCAAGCACCAAGGATTACTAACTTCTGATTTGTTTGTTACTCCTATATGCTTCAGAACTTTGGACCATGGTTCGATGTTCAAGGGGCAGGAATTTTTTCAGTGGTTCTTGTTGACCCATGGAA